GGCATGGACTTAACTCTCAAAAGGACACAGAATATTTGGGCAACAGCTATTGCAGCTTATTATGAAAATAAAACTTTGTTTGTTTCCTTCTCTTCCAAGAGTCGTTGCCATAATGTTAATGCTTGTATATATAAATCTGTTATTATCTCTTTTACTTAGACGTGGCGATGTTATCGTTGACAGGATCGTTTCACTTTTAGCTGAGCTCAACAAAGGTAATTTATATTGGCCGTTTCAATTATTTATTATATTTTAATCTAACCTATTTTTATTTTATTTTATGGTTTTTTTTATAGTTATGGCTACTTCCTAGTATTAATTTGAACTTCTTAATATTAGTCGGGTAACGGTCTTGTCAGCTATAATACTGCGAATAACATTTATGTCATTTTATTAAAATCTTTAATTAATTCTTTTACTTGTAATGCGTTCGTTTTGTAAACCTTGAGTTTTTTTTATATCACTGAAGAGGGTTCATGATTGAGCCGAAACGTTTGATTATTTATATTAAGTATTCATGTTCAATAAATATTGCTCTATTTCCTAACACAAGGAAGGTTTTACCCATATGGTACATAGCACTATTAATCCTGTGCTTGAACTCGAATTAGCCCTTTTTCCTATTATTTAATTGATATCATTGTTATTGAGTTCTTATTTTCTTTCTCTTTTTATTTTTATCCATTTACCATTTTATAACCATCATTATAAGTAAAATTATTATGAAGGAATATTATAAGTAGTTTATTATCAAATAATAATAAATACACTCAGATAGCCAAACCTGCGCGAACAGATTTCGAGCAGAGCTTGCTATCAACTTTTGATGGCAAATAAATAACAAATTTGATGCAGGATCTGTTATATCAAATTTTGGCTGCAAAATTGCCGCCAGATATGCGGCAAAGCTTGTTGTCGGATAATTGTTGCAGATTTGCAGCAAAAACCGCGCAAAGCTTGTAGCGATTTGACGGCAGATTGGTGGCAGAAACCGCGCAGACCTTGCTGCGCTGCAAGCTTTGCGCGGTTTTTGCTGCAAATTTGGCACCAATTGCCCGACAGCAAGATCTGTCGCCAAAACCGTAGCCTAATGTAGACACAGATGACTATGGTTTTGCTGTGGGTTTTTGATCAAATTTGCTACCAATCTGCGCGCAGTCTGCGCTCAACTTGCTTACTGGGCATAATGTGATATTTACTATGATTCAGAAATATCAATTTATTATACAAACATCAATATTCAAGATGATTGAAAAGAATAGTATTATAAAATATGATTAAAATATCTATGTTGTATATATTAAAAAATCTATGTTGTACGACTTCGGTGCATGATAAGTCGTATAAATCAATATAGGAATTCTATCCATTTCAATCATTTTCTATCAAATATTTCAAGCAGTGATATGCACTGCCCTAATATGTGCTTCGTCTTTTTTATATGTAGCTACTCTTATGTCATCTGAAAATCATTTTTTCCCTTCCCATTCTTTAGAATTTAAATATTTGTTTGTGCTACAGTATTCAAAGCAACTATTATTATCTACACCAGTTTTTCTGTTGTTACATTTACATATAATTCATATCTTTATTGTTTAGCTCTATTGTTTTTTCTACTGTTTCTAGGATTTTGTCTGTATAAAATTTACTGTAATCCCTATCGATACATTCTTTGCATTTTCTTCTATCATTACCCATTTTAAATTCGATGTCTAACCATAAATGATTTGTTATCGTAGACTTATTATACACATTATAATTCATTTTGATATTAGCAGAAACTAAAGGGAAGTCTACAGTAGAAGTCGTAAAGTCGTAAATCGTGGAAAATGACCAATCGCGATCAAGTAGTCAGCGCCATCCGAGAGTGGTACATTAATTTATAAGTTTACCCAAATTTTTCTATTTTCAGATTATATCATTATATTGTTCTTGAAATAAATACGAAAAATAAGGAAGTGCTAATAAATACATGAAAGTATTATTCTATACTTAACAATAATAAGTATCATTCTATACTTAACAATAAATCTGTGATCATATCTTTATGTATCTAATTGTTCTTGATTAGTCTTGAAACAGCATTGTCAAATTCAAATGAACTTTTGTATTTGTAAAAATTATAACGAATTATCGAATTATAACGAACGTAACCTAAATGACGTTATGTGGATATTTTGATGACTTTTGGTGAATGACACGAAAACTACCGACATATTTCACGTCTTTATATTGAGTGATACCGTCGGCATCCAAATATTCGGCAAATACAAAATATTGAAAGATCTCGTAGAAATCCACATTGCCAGAAAGAAATCAAGTTCAAAACAAAAATGATCTTAGACTTTTAGCTGTTTTCGGAATGACTCATTTATATCTACTGTTAGCGCTTGAAAAATAGAGTGAGGTATTGCTCATGTTACAGTTTATCGAATGTCCATGCAATATCGCCCATATCATGTAAATTTTCTGTAAGAGTTAAGAAGAGTTAAAAGGAATAAAAGGTCGATTTTGTCGATTGGCACTTGATACTTTGAAAGAGAATTCAAATTTTTTTAGGAATGTCTGCTTTAACGATATTCTAAAATAATGAGTGTCTCAATAGACACAATTGTCATTACTCGTTACCTGTAAATCTACACTGGCTCCAACAAGTTCTTAATTATCACTGATGGAGACTTTATGTTTGGATAGGAATATTAAATAGTCAAATTATAGGACTACACTTCTTCGAGGGACTTATTGTAACAATCCGCCCAAAGAAGAAGCACGTTAACCGTCAAAATCCGTACTAAAACCGAAAACAAGAACTATTCACTAGAACATTATAAACAAACTGCCGAACATCCGTGGAACAAAGCAAATCAAGCGAAATTCGCATATAAAAATCGAAGCGAAAACCGAGAAGACATATAGTTCTTCCGAGGCGCCCAGCTGACAAATGCTAAACTCTGACAACAGAGAAACCTCTAGAACATGTTATCCGCAACCTCGATACTGTTTTCTGATCGCTCCGCCGTCACATAGTGGATACGCGACACCGGTTCCTAACAATTCCGTCTTCGACTAGTGAATACGCGATATCGACACCAGTTTCTAGCCATTCCATCGTCGATTAGTGGATACGCGACGTCATCACCATCCTGACCGTTTCGTCGTCGACTAGTGGATACACGACGTCGACACCTCCCAGACCGATTCATCGTCAACTAGTCGATACGCGACGTTGACACCGTTTCTTAGTTATCCCACCATCGACTAGTCGAAATGGATACGTGACATCGACATCACTTCCTAGACGATCCCCAGCGCGTAAATACACGACAAGGATCGTCCATCGTGAATCGTATCCAAGCAATCTCCGTTATTCAATCTCGGTATCGCAGATATACGATCGAGATTTCGCCGTCGTTGAGTCGCCTCTGCGCGAACTTAACTTCGTTTACTAAAACTTCAGTATCATTGATACATGATCGAGATTCCGCCGTCGTTGAGTCACATTCGCGCGAACTCAACTCCGTTCACTCCGGTCTCCGTAACACGCATACGCGGGAAAGACTGCCCGTCGTTGAGTTGAAGATACGCGGTCTCAAGTCCGTTCGTACCGATTTCCTGCTCGCAGCAACGCGACAGGAACCGCTCCATCGCCGACCTACGAATACATAACGGTGACTCCATTTCCTAACAGCTCCCGCATCATGAACCCGCGAGTCAAACTGCACCGACAACGCTAGCGATTGTCAAAAACAACACCGCAGCGATTTAAAACTTCGCGTCAATAGCATTTAAATCGCGCAACATAAACCTCACCGTGCGTGCGAGGAAAATGCGCAACACAATACCGACCGCGTCCCGTGGACCATTCCTGGTCCCTCACTACTGCAAACCGTCATTACGAATGTATGTACACAGAATTATTACGTGAACAAAAACGACTAATACCAACGACTAATACCGAAGACGATTGTATATACATTTGTAAATAGAGCTTTGTTAGAATAGATTATATTTATTACATCACTGCGTCAAGAAATATTAAGCCTACCACGAATCCGACTATCTCGCAACGAACGCAACAGCGTTACATTATTAACAGTTCCATTTATTTAGATTTTTTCCAAGATTATTTGCCAACATACTTTGAAAACATTCCATTGGCTGTTCATCAAAGATCTTGGTTTTAGCAAACAGTGCACCCACACATTTTGCTAGAGAGAGATGTTAGGGCATTTTTAAATGAAGAATATCCAAATTAATGGGTAGGAAGAGGAGGATTATTTCCATGGCCTCCGAAATCACTAGACTTTAATCCACTTGACTTCTATTTATGGAATTATTTGAGAAATGCTGTATACAAGAATAAGCTAACTAGATGAATTAATATACACATTAATATAAACAGAATCAGAAGCGTCTGTCAATATGTAATTCCACAAATAATCACTTTTGTTATACAGACTTTCAAACGTAGATTCCGCTTATGCTTAGAAAATAATAGAGGACATTTTGGTCATGTAATACAGACAGAGAGACGTAATTAAATTATTACACGTCTTCTGTATTCTATTCATGCTGCACACCATCCTAGAATCTTGCTTCTACCGCTTACGTCAACCATAGATCTCCTTAATTAGCTGGGTTATTCCTTGATTTCGTCTTTATTGACCGGATCGTTTTCTGATCGCTTTCATTGGCTGGGTCGTTTTTATTTAAACATGAATTGATGAATGCGATGAATTTTAGTTTTCGAGATATTTTGTTGACCATGTTAAAGTTACGCATTGGATTTTGGTCAGCAAAACTTAAAAATTTTAAAGTCAAATATCTCGAAAGCAGGTGGTCAAATAAAAAAAAATTGTAAGAACAAAAAGTGTTTGTTTTTGTCAGAAAATCGAAATCCGTCGTAAAAAATGGAGGTTTCTGTTTGAAGAAACTAACTTGACCTTGATATAGTCTTATGATCTTAATTCAAAGTCACCATCAAATGTCTCCTTCTAAATTCTACGACTTTTATTTGAAACATTTTTTACTAAAATTCCATGTTTTCGAGTTATTACAGTATGAAAATTAAAGTGAGATAACCCGTATATAAAACTTGTTATTTACAAAAACTACAAAATTTGTTAAAAATTATATTTATGATGAATACGCTACAGACGCACATAAAAATAAAAATAGAAAACTACATTCTGATGTTACAGGGAGAAATTAATAAAATTCCAACAAGTACTTTACATGGTACAACGAAGTGTAATATATAGCGTATTCTTGCTGGAAAATATGTTATATAATGCTATAATAAATATAATACTTACATGGAAAAACTTGCTATTCTTTCTCCAGTATTGAGTTTTTGAATAACGCTCATTTCATCGAGTGTCAATTCAAAATCAAAAATTTCCATGTTTTCTTTAATTCGACTTTTAGTTACAGATTTTGGTATCGGCGCGACTCCATGTTGAAACTGTAAAACAATAAAATATTTCAGACTCAAATGATAACTTAAATAATTTTTAATATAAAACAAACATTTCTTATTCTTATTATTACGTACCACATATCGAAGAACCACTTGTGCCGCAGTCTTTTTATATTTTTGAGCAATTTGCAATACTACAGGACTATCTAAATGATCTTTAATGCTTGATTGATTTCCAGGATGTCCCAAAGGTGAATAGCCGGTAATAGTAATGTTATGTTTCTTGCAGAAATCTATCAATCTTTTTTGGTTAACGTTTATATTAACTTCAATCTACAATAAAATTTTTTAATATTAATGATAAAGCACACATTGTAATAATATGGATCACAAAGGCATCAAAAGTCTTGAACGAAACGTTTTACCAGGTTGATTAATAAGTTCTTAGAATGAAAGTGAAAAAAACATTTTGTTAGCAAATCTCAACTTTATTCTTCAACATAATCTCTTTTTAGCTCAATATACCGAGTCCAACGAGTTTCTAGCTTCTTTAAGCCTTTCAAATAATAAGAAGTTTCTAAACCGCCAAAATATGCGTCTGTTTCCCATTCAACCTCTTCATTTGAAGCAAATCTCTTTCCCTGGAGCCATCTTTTGAGATTTGGAAACAGCTAGAAGTCACACGGGGCCAGATCTGGAGAATACGGTGAATGTGAGAGCAATTCATACCTCAATTTGTTTAATCTTGCCATTGCCTTTATCGATTTGTGAGCTGGTGCATTGTCTTGATGAAAAAGAATTTTTTCTTCGCTAAATGAGGCCGTTTTTTCTTGATTTCATCATCCAACAATGATGCATAATATTCTCCTGTGATTGTTCTTCCTTTTTCAAGATAATCGATGAGGATTATTTCATGTGCATCCCACAACACAGTGGCCAGAATCTTTCCAGATTGTTGCGTCTTTGGTCGCTTCGGAACACTTCCATCGTTTGGAACCATTGTGCTGACTGTTGTTTCAATTCAGGTGTATAATTGTGGATTCATGTTTCATCAACGGTTATACAGGGTGTTCGAAAAGTACCGGGACGCCCGAATATCAGGAAAAATATAAGTTTTACAAAAAAATGTTTCAGACAAAAGTTGTGGCGTTTAAAAAGATGTATTTACTGATTACATCAGTTTGACCTTGGGTTGCGTAGCGAAGGTCAGGTCAAGGTCACATTAATTTTTTTAAATGGAACACCCCATTTTTCATTGCATATTCTTATAGCACATCTCGAGAG